AGGCTCATTTAAGTGTTTCACATTTGTCCTATTTGGTTGTTACATTTTAGCCAAAGTCCCAGCTGTGCTTCACTCTGCACTCACCTTTTGCTTGAGGCCATAGTTGACTTCCAGCTCCATGAGTAGAACGCTCTTGCGGACATTGAGGGTCTTCTGCAGCTCATCGAAGGTCGCGTGGATGTCGTCCTCGATGGCGCTCTTCTGATTGGTCAGCTGCTGAAGAATCTCTGACAGCGTCTGCAGGGCTGAGTCGATCTCTGGTAACCTGGAGGCAGTCGAGTAAAATGTCAAGGTCGTGTGACAGAGCTGGAAAATCATCACTGCAGTGCAATATGACAGTATTTACATAATAATATTGCTGCTGCTGCCTACCTCTTCTTGACAGCATCTAGCTGGTGGTGCAATGAGGCCTTGTGCTGTTCCACTACGTCTTTAAGAGGCACGGTCGGGTGCTCTCCGTGTTCGCCGCTCGTGCACTCCTGACACATGGCTGTCTCACACGGAGGACAGTAAAACTCCATCACCTACAAATCAGGAAAAAGCAGGGATCTGAATTTATAATAGGCTCGAGTCATAGACCCATTTCTCCACATTAATGCTGAGGAAATAAACCATCTTCCTGATCCTGCATGCTTACACACTCCTTTAATGTCTCCATCTCACATCTGCCAACTCTGCATCTCCAGACTCAGGAGTCCTGTCCTATTTCCTGCTTTTGTTGGTGACACTGTTCTGCTGCGTCACTTTATCAGTCTACTGCACAAACTCTTGCCCATCAATAAATAATGTTCTTTGCTTTAAAATGATCTCGACGTCTTGAATCACGGCACCGTCAGCTGGTTTGATATTCTGCTCCACGCTGAAATACCCAGACAGATGTGGACGAGACTGCTATGAAATTATTGTGTACAGGCATGACAGCCGCTCAGATTATGAAACATAATGACTTGGTGATCTCCTGACTTCACCCTCAGCTCCACTCTGAACATCTATAACTATAACATCTATAACCCTAACTAAATGTTAAAGCTGACTTTGCTGTCAGGTGTCAGTGCGAGGAGCTCTTACGCTGCCTCCATGGTTTGGGCAGGAGAGTAGTTGGCCTGTAGCCACAGTGGTGATGTTGTTGAGAGCGGCGGCCTCTTGGCTGCAGCTGCCCGGTGCCCGCTGCAGCACGTCCATCAGGTTGGTGATGAAGAAGTTATTCTGCAACGCCGCCACACCCTTCTCCGGCAGGATTGAGGTCTGGCGGCACACGGGGCACGACAGTGTGAGGCTGTGGGCCGGGATATAATTCTGCAGGCACCTGCAGGAGGACAAGAGGTGTATTAAAAAGGTTGTAGTTTCAGGTGCTTTATTGCCTGACATAAAAAAAA